ACTAGAGAATCAAATGCATAGACACTCATGTGAGTATAAGAAAGAGCTTACTATAAGGAGTAACTGTATATTAAGAAAACATCCCAGCCCAATCCAGATAAATCCCTAAGTCCAACTTTAACTGATATGTCCAATACTAGTCCACACAGTTCTCTTCAGATACACACAACACATGCAATGACACCAAATGCTGGAAGATCTCAGGTCAGTGGGTGGAAAGTCCTGGGCATCCGGTGGCAGTGGAAGTATCTCAGCTCTGACATGGATTTCCATGTGGCTTGTCAACAATTCGGAATGTCAAGCAGAGAGTAAAGGTCTGGCTTCCAGTGAGCTATTTCACTCGTTAGCGCCTCCAAATGAGATGATCAATCTGTGACCTAATTGACGGGCTAACCTCCACCCCTTTACTCATAATAGTCTCAAGTTGACAATAGACTACTGTATGTACTTGAGTATAAGCCCACCCCAATATCAGCCGAGGCACCTAATTTGGCCTCAAAAACTGCATAAAAAATGTGCTAACAAACTCCGCTTATACATGAGTGTATACAGTATGTAACTATCACAGACCACCCTTTGCTAACTTGACACTTTCACACAACTCTTTAACCATACATAATTTTCAAACAAGCAATAATAAAATCATATCTGTACCTAACAGGATAAAACTAAAATGCATACAATTAAAAAATGTGCCACCCTCATTTAAACATAACATTCTGTAAGTGAACAAAAGAAAACTATCCTTTATTTATGTGAACACCCACACCATAATCCTATGAACATAATCCCCCACCTATGAAAGTTCGTAAGCCAACCACTTCATGCTTTTATCCCCCCCCATTTTAGGTATCCAATTTCTATACTGCCCTCTTACATCGACCTAGTGCTGAGGAGAAAATCCTAATTTTTGATGTGAAGAATCTTCATTCTAGTTGGAACCTGTGCAATCTGCATCCGTAAGCAAAGTCAAAGCAGAACAGACCATTCATAAAACCAGCAGCCATATGCATGAGTTCACAAGCTCAAAACATCTCTGCATCTGGTTGGGTTCTCAACCCAATTTGGGCTGCCTCGCTTAGCCTCAACAGGGTGCCCATTGGCTGCCTTGCCTTCAGACCATGGGCCCCGTCACAGATTCTCAACAACCCTAGCCCACTTTGGCTAGGTCACGTATTTAAAACCAGTCAACCCGCTCTCATCTTCTCCTCTAGTCCCTGTGAACCAGGTCCATGGGTGTCAGTGGCCAGACTCTACCCACCTCTTTATTCACTCAATAAGTGGACTCAGGTGGTCACCTAGCAAGCATTTCAGCCTGCCTACAGGCTTGCTTTAACGGTCAGTCCCAGAGAGGAAAGTTTCTTTATGGCTCCAAATTTTTTTCCAGCTAATGGCACAAACCACTAGTTTAAACTTCAAAAAGCCAAAGAGTTCCTTTTAATCTGTCAATAGCCCCCTAGGCAAGTCTCTTGACCTTAGAACAGCGGTTCTCAACCTTCCTAATGCCGTGATCCTTTAATACAGTTCCTCGTGTTGCGGTGACCCTCCACCCATAGAACTATTAAAACTGTAATTTTGCTACTGTTATGAATCGTAATGTAAACATCTGATATGCAAGATGTATTTTCATTGTTACAAATTGAACATAATTAAAGCAAAGTGATTAATCACAAAAACAAAATGTAGTTATATATTGTGGAACACTTATTTCAAATTACAAATAAATGAAATTTTGTCTTGAAGCATGGTGTAGCATGGGTAACAGTCTTCACGTCGGACAGACCTGCCTGGAGACAGATAAAAGAGTGGTGTCTCGGTTCCTAAGGTTGAGAACCACTGCCTTAGAATGTCCTGAGTACTGAAGATACTGGATGGGGCTTATCCTTTTAGAGCCTTCTTTGCAGGCCTGTCCTAACCCATTCAAATTCCAATTTCATGGCTGAGGGCAAGTAGTCTTACAAACTCTCTATTTTTACTTCCCAATAATCATTTCTATTGATAGAAGAATCAAGCCAGGCCCAGGCTTTCTGTCAGCCATTTTGACCTTTTGTCAGCCATTTTCACTAAGCAACACTGTCTGAGAAATTGAAATGACAATTTCACCCTGAGCTCCAAACATACATTGATCACATTCATTTTTGCCATTTCAAACAGGAATAACCAAAGAGAATCAAAACTTTAGCTTCCCATGTTCTATCCAAAAAACAACCCAGTAACCTGCACGGCCATATCTGACTGCTGGGTAGCCAACGAAGAAAAACTACCCTGAGGCAGGGGTCCACAAGCACCTCTATGGTTTGTTGCTCAGCACCCCACTCCCAAGGAAGAGGGGCTCAGGAAACACTACGGACTTAAGTTGGACTGGGCTGGCCTGCTTCCTTGATAAACAACGACTGCATGCTATAAAGCATTTTCTTAAACACATGAGGGTTTCTGGATTTGGCTCTCTAGTTAACACAGCAAAACACATATACATATGAGGGGATTCTAAAAGGTCTTGGAAAATTAGATTACCTTTACATTTACCACTAACATTTTAAAAACTGATTAAACCATTTCAATTCCATGATACCATCTTCAAACTCTCTTTTGAAACACTGTTCTATCTCAAGTGAGTGACACTCACCTCACACATGCAGTCTGGTCTTTATTCTGGTCTTCAGTGACATGCAATTCACAGACCTCTCCTACCATAGAGGACCAGGTGTCATTTTTCATGAACTGTATTGTATTTTCAGTGGACAGCTTTGCTCCATCATCCAGGTTTTGAGAAACTGAAAGAATGATTTAACTTAACGTTAAAAGTAAAGCAAAGAGCAAGGGCACTACTCAGAAGGAAAAAGTCGCTGTGAGAAAAAAAAAAGATTTTAATACATTT